TTGTGGTACTGCTTCCATTGACAGGGACTGGGAAGCTTGTCAGGAATGAAGGGAAGATGAATGTCTTAAAATCAAAAACCCAAGACCTTGAACTACAATGAAAATTCATCCTCCAGTAGGACAATGACCCAAAATATAAGGCTAAAGCTACACTAAAGTGGCTTAACAAAAAGAAAGGGAATGTTCTAGAGTGACTCAGTCAAGGTTCTGATTTAATTGTTATAGAAAATATGTGGTAAGACTTGAACCTTGCTGTCTCCAACCAGTTTGACAGAATTCGAGTAAGTTTTCAATGAAGAATGCACATAAAGTGCACCATCTTGGAATGCAAAGTTGGTAGAGGCTTTTCCAAAAAAAGGCTCTCAGTTCTTATTTGTGCCTGGAGGGTGAATACTTATGTATTCCACGTATTTTAATTTTTTATTTTGTTTCTGGTTTTGGGTAACATTTATCTTTCTACCATTAACAATATTCAGTTTTAACAGTCAAGTTGTGGTTAAAATATTAACTTTAAAAAGGTACCCTGTATTTAAGGGGAGGGGGTTCTCTGCATTAGCTGCTTGTTATAAACTGGGATTAAAGCAGAAAGGCTGGTGATTAAATAAATGTTCTTAATCTAATCAAAATCCAAATCAACAGCAACTGGGACACAGCATTTCTTATATACTGTAGAAGTGCTTTCTGTGGCAGTCACATTAATATTAAGCTTAAGTGCATCAGATAATATAATGGAACAAGTAATAGGTTTATTCCATGCTGAAAAAAAGAAGAAAGCTACCCACCTGAACTGCTATAGGAATATGATATTTGGGTTGCATTAAAAATAGGGAGGTTTATAATAATACACCTACTCCATGAGCATGTAATGAAAACAACAGTACAGTAGTAATGAAAAGCGGTTTATGAAGCTTGAACTATAAAATAGAGAACTAGTTTACACTGTACCAGCATAAGTCTGATCTATAGCATTTAGTTCCTGAAGAACAGCATTATGGTTCTGAAGTTTGAGAAGAAAATCTAGGGCAATCATTTTATAATAAAAGAAGGCATTGGTCCAACACAGACTCACAAGAAGTTTCATACTCTATTTTGCAAATGAATAATGTGTGAAATATGATCATTCACCCTATACTTGTATCTGGAGATCTGTTTCTTAAGTCTCTGATGAGAAATTGAAAATTGCTGTAATGATAGTGTTACAGTTTTTAGGTCATGTGTAAGGAAATGTGTACATTTTTATTTTGGAAAAATACAGGCCTAAATAGAGGCCTACTCATTTGGTTATTTTCCACCCAGATTTTAATTTTGTTACAAAATGGTTTAATATTAAAGCCATAGTTCATACAAAATAATACCATTGTTTGAATTCTCTATTTCAGAACACCACAGTGCTTACAATCTGTTAGGGTTATTACATTCTATTTAGAACCAATATTAGCATTTACTTGGAGAAAATAGGTTGATTCGGTATTTCTTGTAATAAATCTGGGGATTTCTTTGTTTTAGTGTAATATACTATTTTAAAATGCTTGTAAGTCCAAACGAAATTTTTTGCATGAAAATGGAGAAGTTAAAGAACTGAATCAGGTAAAGTGAGACCACAGGTTAAATAAGTAACTAAGTGGCAAGCTGTTTAGTTCAGTAGGAAGAATGAGTTCCTCAGTTGTTTCTTAAATCACATTTATTTGCATTTTGATGCTATGTGTTAAAACAGAAATCTTCTTTTGCCAATTTTAAAAAAAATACACAGGTTCTTATGCTATTTTATGTTTAAATACCTTAAGATCATTATAACTTGTTCTTTTTATTTCCTTTCTTTAAATTACAGCTTTATGCCATAAGTTACCCAAAATAAAAGCTATTAGATTGTCTTTACTTTTAGAGAATTTTAGAACTGCAGTTCACTTGAGCATATACGTCCCCAACTGACCAACCGATAAAATGAAAATAATAAAGAAAACAATGTATTCAAAGTCCAACTGTCGTTAACATTCACATTAACATTCCAACATGAAAAGGTTACAGATGGAGATCCATCCCTGTCATCTTGCCATTTTTTGAAAGAGGCCATGGTTTCAGCCACTACAACATGGGAAGTAACTAAATTGGTCTGGTGTGAGCCGGACTCAAACAGGGGTTGCTGCGGTCTAAAAGCAGAAGACTAACCACTATATGAACATGCCAAGCTACCCAGAAGGTCTACACCACATTACAGATTCATGAAATAAACTTAATTAACCCATGCATGTGGTAGCTGCTTTCACCAGACTGAAAACCCGTTTTAATTGCATTTCCAGTTTAAACCTTTTCCCGTAGATGTATGAATGTGTGTTAAGTGGTAGAAATATTATTCTTATTTGTGAAATATTTCTCATTTTTTTAGAATTGGTTTTAAAATATAACTCAAGTGTTATGAAAAATGAATTAGAGTACATGTATATGTCTTCAACTCAGAAGTAGGAATTAAAAAAATGAAATATTTTGCTATTTTATATATAATGTCATAATTTTGCATGTGTTCAGAATTAATTGTATGAAGGAGTGCTAGTTTTGTGCAGTAAAATGAACATATCTGAGATGGTTTCAAATCTCTTCAAAGCTTTATTACAGCTATGTTGTACATGACAAAACACAGGAATGCTACACATACATTGAGAACCAGCAAAAAGGAAAATCAAGGTTCCATTCTCACACTCTGTTTTCCGGTCTACTTTGAGAACACAAGACATTGGACCCATAGCTGATAAACATAGACTCTTAGACAAACATTACATTAATAAAAATACTATAAATTTACCCACTTCCTTAAGGACTGCACTCATCTACCGTCATGATTTTGCCATATGGAAACATGTACATACATCTAGACATTTAGAGGCAGATTGATATAATTTTTCACTTGACAATATTTATATTGCTGTAGTATAAAACATATTCCTAAAATGGCTAGTCTTAGCCTTTATAGATCTGTAAAGTCTGCCAGATGGGAGGAGTTGAAACAGATGGCATGCCTACTGAGACGGATCATCAGATAAACTTAATCTTACCGGACGTCCCTTCAGTATACAGCATGATTAGAAATGATAGATTAATGCTGATTAATGTAGATGATGTCTTTTTAACTTTTCCTTAACATTTCTTGCTTTATTTTGAGCTGTTATTTAGTACTTTGTAGCACATTTCCAAACTCATCCTAATAAAAAATGTAGTCAGTAGGACTGGATTAAATTCTTGATCAGCATCAACCTTTTTTATGTATGAACAAAGCTGATATTGACAGCCCTATGAAATTTGTGTTGTAGATCATTTATTTTTACTCATGTACCATCACCATGGGCCTTACATACTACCATTCTTCTTTTTCTATTCCTTTTATCTATTTCTTACAAAAGTAATGTAGATGTATTTTCATGGCTGAATTTGCCTTCAAACATATATTAGTAGTGAATACATGAATGAGATTAGTTCTTTTCCACTCTGAAGTTAAATTACATCTTTGTCACAGAATGAGACATCTGTCTTGTTTCATTTCTTCTTTTTTATCTTTGAGTATATTCTTACATGAAAAGGTCCCTTTTAATTCCATTATCTTGTCACGTAACATGAAAACTGAAGCTAAGAACCTGTCACTTCCTAGTCCTCCTTTATAAGTACTTACAGAAATACTCGGCTACCAAAGAAAGAAAAAAAAGTACTTTTTCACAAATGTCTTTAAAAGAATTTTCTTTAATCATTTTTCTTTTCTGAAGGCGGTCATATCCATACTATTGAATGGTTATTAGGAATAAAGTGCTCTTGTAAAGGACTTATTTTTAAGTTTCCAAACCTTAAAAAATCTGATGAGATATTTTTAGTTGACAAAGAATTATTGATTTAAAAGCTCACATTTTATAAGGGCTCTACATTCTGCTCTATTATTTATCAGGGACATTATTTAGACCAGGGGTCGGCCACCTTTCAGAAGAGGTATGCCAAGCACATACACTTATACTTTTTTATGTATATGTGGCATAAAGTGGATCAGTGGATTTTCATGCCACATTTTAACATCAGTACTTTTTAGATACAGTTTGATTAATAAAAAAAGTATTAAAATATACTACGATTTTAAATGGATAATATGCACATCTTACCATTTAGTGGACCTAGCTCTTGTTTTCTCTTGCTGATGGAATCTCAGATCTCAGCTTCATAGCAGATTATGAAACTGCCCGTGCTTCAAGGCAGATCGAGCAGCAGGAGAATTCACTATTTTCACCACTTTAGTTATAACATTAAAATTATCCAAATTGTGGCTGAAGGATTTTCCTAAAGGATAATACAATGAAAATGTACCATGAGGTGGCCAGTGTGATCTGCAATGATCTTCACAAATGATCTTCTGTTTCCCAGCCACTGAGGAGGCACTATCAGTCTTCATAGAAAATATTTTTGTGATGTCAGTTCCTCTTTCCTCAGAATGATTAATAAATGTCTTAGCTATCTTGTCCTGTAATTGCCCCATAGATGGGCTTCAGGTAGCACAGCTCATCTCAAATTCTACCCAAGTCACACTGCCTTGCAAGAATTGCTAATTCTTAAAAATAAAATCCATATTCCTCTTTCCTAAATTGCTGAAATGAGTGAATATCTAACTCTAACTCTGCTTTCTTAGCAAACACCATTAGTCCACAATATTTGACTTTACATTGTGAAAAGCCTTTACAAGTGTGAAAAAATGTTATCAGTGGCATGGATTGTGAGCTTTCCTGTGAAAACAATAGGCTAGCCCCTCTAAAAAATAATGCAATAAACCTAGTAAATTGTTTTTTTTTTTTCCTAAATCAAAGAGCGTTCATTTGTTGTAGAGAATTGGAGAACAGTCAAGCATATTTTTAAAGAATTTTTAACTTAATTTATTTGTCGCTTATTAGAGTTGTTGCACATTCCATGGTTACCTGAGATATTCTTACTGTATATGTTGGAATATGTTCTGAGTCATGGTTTGTTCTTTTTTTCAGGAAGGGAATTTTGGAAGAATACAGTGAAATCACCAGTCTTTTATCTGATGAAATAGTTAAGGTTCATAAAGAAATTTACACATCCATTGAACAGATTGACCCTGCTTCAGAGTATGAGCATTTTATAGAAGTTCACAGGTATGATATGTGATTGATGTTGCTGCTATATTCTGTCGCTACAATAAAGTTTGCTATGCAAAGATCATAATACATATTAAATATATGCACTGCATTTGTATTGTTTTCTGTATAGCAGCTATATTGTGAATTGCATGTGTTTTCATTGTATTGCGGTGTGCAAAAAAAAGTTACTGGAAATGTCTTTTAACAGATCACCAGAAATGAAGCAACCATGTGTAGAATTTGATGTTTCCTTGCTGGAGGAAACTGAGAACCTACAAGCAAATGAGATTTTATGGAATAATTTGACAGCCGACAGTTTACAAGCAGTGTAAGTGTTAAATGTAGTATTCAGAAGTAACAGTTATGATTACTCCTGTTGTCTAAATCAGTTTCTGAAGATATGTCACATTATTATTATAATAATTATCAATTCATTATATATAACTAATAATAGTGTAAACATTTCCTTAGTAATTCATTAAATTTACATTGATTTTTAAAGATAAAACAAACTGCTTTTTGATTGTTCCATTATCAGGCTTTTTAAATCAGCAGTAATACTTGAATTTAAAAGAACAGCTTTACAATTCAGCATTACTACGGTTTGTGGATAGCCATACAAGTAACATGCATTTACAGTTAGTTTACAATTGTTATTGCCTCCTTTCCATGTAACCAGGCTGAAATCAACATCAGAAGAACTGACCCTAACTCAGCAGACCCTTCAGAACAAAGAAGAACTGATGCAGGACTTGGAGAAGAAAATTGAGGAATCTGCCAAATCGTGTGAAAAGAAGTCAGAGTATGTATTTGTGCATCGATATCCATGTTTTGATATATAATGAAATTAAATAATCTGGTTTGTATGTCTGTGAAATGTTTTTTATTCATTGATTTGTAAGTAATGATGATATCAAAGAGGAGAAAGGTAAATATGACAAAGTGAAATATTCAATATTCGAAGTGCCCCCATTTTATTTAGTCCCTTGGACAGGATTAAATGCACTGGCCTGTGATGATAGTTTCATTCCATAAATGGTTCTCAAGGAGCTAAGCCTCTCTCTGTTTTTCCATCACATTCCTGCCATTTGGAGACACATGAGTAGACCTTATTTGGAAATTATCCCCAAGTCATGCAAATTATTGTTTGATACGTGCATTAGATTTAAAAGAAAAACCATAATGCGTGACACAAATATGACACAAATATGTGACATCACAGATGGAGGTGTCAAAAGGAAACCTGTTCAGATGTGTCTCTGTTCTTGAATCTCATCCTTGTCACAGTGGAATGAATGACAGTTGTTCATACAGGATTTGTGCGTTATGTATGTAGTTTTCACAAGTTGGTGTGCAGTGCCACCTAGTGGTGAAAGGTTATAAAATTCTATCTTTCAACTACATTTTCCTCCTATTCATGTGCAAACATTGTTTCTTTAAAGCCTGATAAAATAAAAACTGAAATATTATTTGTTCTGCTGTTTCCTTTGGAAACAATCAATCCCACACAAAAGCAAGAAGACTTTCAGGTTTTGAACTTTTTTGTCATGTTTGCCTTCCTATTCTATCATGAATTTTGAGGAAGCACTTTCAATTTGAGAATTTGCTCAGAATTTTTTCTTACATATCTATTGGCATTATCTACCCAGTAGTTAAACCCATCACACAACTGTCCTTAATCAAAATGATTCAATAGCATATGGCTATGGCTGATAATGGATCAAATTAGGGATAAACATATTTGTTTGTAAGTCACAAATTTTAAAATGAAGTGTCTTGAGTAGGTTTTTGTAAAGGAATATACCCTCAAAACCCTTTTCCCTTCTGTCGTGTTTGGACATGGTTGCAAAACCTTTGCCTTTATTCACAGAAATTCTTTTAAAATAAGAATCATCTCTAATAACCTTATAATTTAAGTGTTGAAAGCTATGCAATGCTTAGTGCTTTTGAGAAAAGATTTGTAGGATTGATTTCTTTAGTAATATTCTAGAAAAAAACTTTTTTTTCAGTTTTTGTGTTTTCATAAAATCCTTTTAAGTATTGATATGAGCCTATCATGTATTTGTAGCCATGTTTTAGCAGTACAATGTACTGTATCTTGTCTCCTTTCTTGTCCTTTTTTTAGTATTGTATTGCTGCTTAGTCAAAAACAATCATTAGAAGAGTTAAAACAGACAGTCCAACTGCTGAGATGCACTGAGGCCAAACTGACTGCACAGAAAGAGTTACTGGATCAGAAGATGCAGGAAAATGAAGGCAAAGAACCACCTCCTGTTGTTAATTATGAAGAAGATGCCAGGTCTGTCAATTCTATGGTAAGTGGCTTATTATATATAAATAAAGGTAGCCGGAATCTTGTAGATTTGTACTAATGCATTGTTATGGGTAAAATGATGTATTGATGCTATAAATTATAGCTGCATTTTATGTTGGTTGTTCTTTAAGCACTCTGTAATCCCCTCATGTTTTTGTGAACAATAGTATTTGAATATCCTTGTTATATAAACAGTTAAATGCAAAATAAGTATGCAGTTTTTAAAAAATACCAGCTGCAGATATGCGAAGCTTTTTAATAAAAATAATTCAAACAAAACATAATATTTCCTTTATGTATGCCCTGAGGTGTATAAAACAAAGCATTTTCATAGATTATTTGAAATGGAAATATACTGCATTTGTATCAATAATATTGCAGGCACTGACAGTAGTTTAAGTATAAACATTTTACTATATGAAAAATCTTCATTTTATTGCGTTTTTTGGATGAGGTGCTTTTACTCAAGAGTTAAATCATTTAAAAGCATTGATTTAGTGTAACACCTTTTGCTCCTTTCAAAGCTGTAATCCCGTAACTTTGACATTATTAATAAAGCAAGATAATAATAAATAATCTAATTGATGATTTCCTCAAAAGTTCCAACATGATTTTAAAGGTTTTTTGAAGTAACACTAGATGTTTTTGCTATTTTGTCCATATGAGGGCTCAATCCTGGCTCTTTTTTAACAGAAACTGAGATTCATGTTCTTAGTGAACTGCCTCAAAAATCTTCTGACACACCAACCCCTAGGATTAAACAGCACTTTTCAGTTCAATCAAAACTTTGTATTAAAACTTGATGTGCAAGACATTCAGGCCACATCAGCATGCATAGGCTGGAAAGAAACGGGTAAAGGTTCATTCCAAAAGAAAGCTCCACAGCCTAAATATTGTGTACCTTTTTTTTATTTCTGGTGTAACGTGTTTGAAGTATCTCTAATGTCATGGCCTTAGAGGGACATTTTAATCTATTGCTGTAAATCATTTTGGTTGCAGTTTGTTCCTTAATACCAAAACTGATTAGATTTTAGCTTTAATCTATAGTTTAGTCATCTGTGAGTCTGAGCAATCGAGTTGTTTCCATGCATATGTCAGGCAAGCACCGATATTACAGACAATTGTCTTGTGCTAACTACAGTAAGTCAGCCCATCTTTTCAGTACTTTCTATTTATAACGTCAATATACAGTAAGCAGCAAAAAAATCAATACATTGTTTTTTTGTGTTCTCTTGCAATGTGTAATGCAGGGTTGTGCATCTTGTATATGAAAATAAAGCATCAGAAAAATCTGCCCATTTCTGAGATCAGTTGCAAAGTGAAATATTGTAGGTGTATTCCAGAGAAGCAGTTCAATTTAATCTAAAAACACACTTTAAAAAGAAAGATTTTCTTCACAATAAAATATAAAAAAAACAACTTAGTATTTCTGTATCACCAAACTTTGTTTTATAATATGTTTAACTGTTTTACAAACACTAAAAAATAGATGAAAAACATACATTGAGTACTGGGGAAAGATGTTTTATCAAGTACCACACAGTATTTTTTTAATAGACATAAAATTACTCATACAACTCAGTTGTTACTTATCTAGCTAACAGTTCAGTGAATTTACAATTATTGCCCTGTAGCTTAAAGATTGGTTTTCATTTTCGTTTTAATCTATGTTCTTAATTCAGAAGCTAAAGCTTTTTTTAAATGCCCATTATATAGTCAGTCAGAGCACTCCAGTGTAATCTTTAGGCATTCTTGAATTATATGAAACATCTTGAAGCTTTGTTCTAAATTTTCATAACTCTATTTCTGGAATAGCAATTAGTTATCTCTAAATATCAAACAGCATTGGTACTGTACGTAAACTGAGATGTGTTGTTGGTGCTTTATGCAGTTATTGAGTAATTTATTTGAAATGTACTGTTTATTACAGGAAATACCAATATGTGATTAGAATTCTAATAAGCTGATGAGGTTAATTATACTAAAGAATTTCAATTCAAGATTATTTTAATACACTTTAAGATTAAAACAAATATTTTTACCCTGTACATGGTCAGATGGTCTGGTTACAGTGGATTGTTTTTGAGTATGAATTCTTTAAAGATAAGGATGTTTCTCAAAAAGACCAACATAGACAATGTAAAAGCCAGTACTGTACGTGTATAATAAATGAAAATATTTGGTCATCCTATTTCCTTCATTCAGCAGTGGAAGTATGTAAGGCTTGATAATAGTTGTTTTTTTATTTTATATTTCTAATAAACCTGCTTAAACATTATTTTCTATGTAAACATTTGTTCATTGTTCCTAAAGTACGTAATATCTGAATACAAAAGTTACTTCAAACATGTCCCTGTGGTAAATTGTTTTTTACCACTAGGTGGCAGTGTAAATACGATTTTCAAATTCAGCAGTACACTGAACGTATAGTTCATAGGACATGCATGGAGTTTTTAAAATTGTATGTTATTTTTCATGTGTAGTCAATAATAAGTATGTTATAGTTGTATTCATACAATTAGTATTATAGACCATGAAGAATATATAGAACATGCACCATATAATGTATAGACTTTGTACAGTTTACTAAAGTTCAGATATTAAGATCAAATTGAACACATTGCCTGTTTAAATTTCCACCTGCTGTATTTATGCACAGTTATTGTATTAAACTTTTCAGCATACACTGTATTCTATGGAGTTTGTGCACAACCTTAAGGTCAGAACTGCATGGCTGCATTTTTTTTAATTAATTGGCATAAAGAGTGTTCAATTTTAATTTTTGTATTTTTTATTCTTTATTTTGTTTGTGTTAACTGTCACTAAAATAAGTATACTGTTTAAATCTGCAAAACAATTTAATTTCTCCCATTTCAAACATTTCATGTCACCCGGAAAGCTAGAAGAATTCTTGGCTAGGAATTAGCTGTAGGTGTGATTGCTGAGAGACGAGATTTTGGCAATGTGCAGCTACAAGGTTCTGAATGGGCTCTGGTTTGCTTATGACTTTGGCAGCACAACATCAAACTTCTCTTAACAATTAACAATTGAACATTTTTTTTGCTTTATATGCCCATCTGATTTGCTTCAGCTCAGAGATATGATTCATCTGCAGGGAGAATGAAGAGAGGCAGACATGCTCATCCACCCTCCTACCTGTCGGAATCTTTCATATTTTGTCTCTATTGCTTTACAGTGCTTTGCTCATATCATATGTCATCATATGTCTCCCCATATATTTGCGTCTCTCATTGTCAATACTGCAAGCTGGCAGTTGCTGCGAAAGATACAGGGTCAGTGTTTCACAAGACCCGAGAAAACCTGGGCTGACAAATCCCAATGCTACCCTTGGTGCTCAGCCAGTGCTCAGCCAATTGTGCAATGCCAGGTAGTGACATGAGCCTGACTTTAATAATGTTTGTACCACAGAGCTCTTTATTAGTTAAGCCATTTGGAAGGCCCCTTACTCTGCTGTTGAGCAAGTCTCCAAGTGTGCTCCACCCTATGCAGAGCTGTCAGTGTTAACAGATAAAATGGTGAAATGTGTGAAAAAGTGGGCTTTAAAAAGTGGTTTAAAGTGAGTTGTGTTGGTTCTTCTCACAGCGTTTGGCATATTCAGAAATGAGCATACATGGTTCTTGGCCAATTTGACTATGTATGGTGCAAAGACCATTTAGTCACCCTGAGTTTCCAGGAACTTGAGATGAGAAGGGAGAAAATCACTATGTGAACAGGTGTGAGCCACCTGTTCTCTTAAGTGCAAATAGAATCTGTTCTTCTTGGACTCAATTATTGGCCAGCAACAACATATTCATTCTGCTGCATCGTATTGCTGGAGTGAATTATTGATTTTTTGCTTAAGATGAATTAATGGAAAATATAATTGATATGTATCAGACTTAAATGAGTATGGAAAAAAATAAAACATTGCTGGGAGGGGTAGAGGTAAAGAGGCTAGTAACCTTGCTTGTTACTAAATATTTCTTTTTAATTTAGTTCGGAAATAGACAGATTTTACAAGTGATATATCAGCTTGAGCTGTCCCTGATTTTTCTGTTTTACAAAAATTGAGCAGATAAACTGGCTTGTTTGGTGTGTGTTGAAATGAAACTGTTGCTAGTGGTAAATTAATATAAATTTGCTCACACCTATATACTTAGTCTATCTAATTTCATTTATTTTTGTTTTTTTGAAGATTGTGACAAATTATTTTCTGTTCTATAAAATGAAGAACTATTTTTGTATCAAAAATACGAGTGATTATGGCTTGATTGTACGACTCACGTATAGTGTAATTAGCCGATTCAAGTCGCACAGATTTGCTCTTCATATTAAGATTTCCTAACAAATCTTACACACACTTTGTTTCACATTTCCTGTAAAGAAAGTAGTTCTCAGAAATCATATTTACAGCAATTAGGGAAATTGCATATTTGCTAAGTCTTTTTTAAGAATCACATTTAAAGTATGGACTTGATACAGACATCTTGACATCTTATCCTTCTCATATCCATATCTGCCTGTGTTGAGTAAATGTTATTCACAAAGATGTTCTTGCCACAAAATATCAATTGATACAATTCATTTTAATTGAACATTTCTTCATAGAGATGGAGCAAAATTATAAGTGGTATACTTATGATGTTGGTACTATGTAGAAACCTTTTTAAGTGAATGTTAAGTTTGTTTCTTATTTATATGCAAAGGATATAACTGCAATGAGTGTTTGTAGCAAACCTTAGGACAAGCCATCTTTCGTAGTAATTATTTTTATTATTATTAATAATGATGATTAAGAAATAAGCATGATATGATACAGTACTAGCATTCAGTCTGTAGACAGTATTCTATTTAATGGCTCTATTAGAAGCAGCATGAGCTGTTAAAAGACAGCACGTCTCCATTGCTATGCCCATTTTAAAATTGATGATTGCTCAAAATATCAGCACAAAGCTGCAGAAATGCAGTAATGGCAGTGCTAAACTTTTTCTTTTGCATGCTGGTGGGAAGCACATCAGAATGCACATATTGTTGTCGGACCATAACTTCTGTGATGTTAGGAAGAGTTATTTAGCTACTACTAATCCTCACGACTCATTTATCTGAAGAAGCTCCTTTATCTTGTCATTACCTGAGCTGCGTGAAATGAGCTGATCATCCCCAACCCTGGCAGGCCCACAAGCGCAAAGAGCCCTCTGTATCCATGGTGATGCAATGAGCAGTTTTAACTAGCCATTTAATCCCTTGATGTAAAAATCGACCTGTCAACGGACAAGGATCTGTTATCTTGAAAGGCTCATGATTCTCGTTTGGCATGTCCTGTTTTAAGCTACAGTGGAGCTTGGATAAGGGCCTGGATGTTTTATTCATTACTATGTTCTAAAGCCATAAATGGTTGTGGTTTAATTATTATTTCAGTGGATATTTCAACCAATCGTGATACAGGGTACACCAGTTTTATGACTTTACAGTTTTTCTAGTTACCTCTATTTTATATAGCATTGTAGATGACAGTACATCCCAACTATAGATATGCATTTTGAGTCAATGACAGATGGTTGTTTATTTTTCTTCAGTCACAGTATAGATTAACTCTCAAATTTGATCTTGACACATTGAGTTTTATTTATGCAGAAGTGCACAACATAGTAAGCTTGCAGTATGAGGAGAAGTATGAGTTTTCAGATTATTTATCTTATTTATTTTTCTGTCCTAGAGTATCGACCTTAGGGCAATTGACTAGTAAGCATTTGCACTGTGGTACTTTTTTTAAGTTTGCCTTGTATCAGGGAAATGACAGTTTTTATCATGGCTTGGCTTTATCATTTCAGTGCCACAGAACAAGAAACACAGAAGTGCTGTCACAATTTGTTGTTTTTTTTTACTGTAAATTCATGGGTAATTATGAAAGTGAATGGTTATCCTTACAAAAAAGTCTGTTCTTATCACAGTCATATTCCATTTTATTCCTTTTGAGCAGTTTTTTAATGTTTTCTTTTAAAGTGATTTCAGGTTAGGATTTACCCTAATGTGTACATTTCCTTATCTTTCTTCCAGGATAAAAGCAAAGACAAGATTTCAAAGTTTGACACCTTACGCCATTCCATTGCAGGAATAATTCGGTCCCCGAAGTCAGTCTTGGGCTCCTCATCAGTAAGTACCTGATATCTTTATGAAAGAATATCTAAAAGATAATCTCATACTTCAGATTTTTCCACAGTGTCATTAACACCATCTTAAACCTATTCCTGTAATTACTGAAACCTCAGATTTATGCGTAATTTATACCATGAACTCCCATACCATCATTAAAAAGAGTTATTATTTTTAGAACACACGTTTTCTTTGAATTTACAATGCATTTTTGCTTATATCTTCTGTCGTTGAAATCCTAGGAGTTTCTGTACCCATTTAGTTTTGTTTTTGTAGTTGGTTGTCTGAAAGTGGATTTTGTTGTTTTTAAAGAACCTTCCTAATCTCCTAATTCCTTGGTCTTTGTGATAACTCTGTTGGGTAGTTGTATGCGAAAGAAACTTCTTGCACTTCTTTAGCCCAGGCAAAATAAGTTATTTTTGTCTTCTGTTTTCACATCAAGCTCTTTCTTGTGCTATCTGTCTTGGTATATCTTTCTTGAATTTTGCTGTGCTCATTTATGGATTGTAAAATTAGCTAAGCTTGAAGAAAGTAATTGATTTTTTTGCCACACAGGAAGTCCAAGCAATGATGAAATTAGATTAGAAAATGATAAAAATAATGCTTGATGGTCTATAATTCTGTGTATCCCAACACACTTTTGGCCTAAAAGAAACGATTCATTTACTGCATGATTTTAGCAGAGCTAGCCTATTGTTTTAAAAGGAATGGTCACATCATTGCTACAGATAACATTTTCCACATTTAATTGTAATTCAAACACTTGAATAAAATGGTTGTTGCTAAGAAAGTTAGATGTTCTCTTATCTTAGCCCTTTTGGAGAAATGAATATGCATTTGTTCAACATAAAGGCTGTGCTGTTTGTCTTCTGAGTGGATGAATTTGAGCAACATACTGGAATTAGCTATTCTTGCCAGATACTGTGACTCAGATGAAATTCGAGAAGAGCTGTGCTGCCTAAACTCATCCATGGCAAAACTACAGGGGAAGATATGGCTAGGACTTTTATTAATCATTTTAGGAAAGAGGAATTGACATCAAGAAAATACATTCTGGGACGAATGACAGTGCCCCTGCTCTGATCAAAAAACAGTATGTTTTTGTGAAGAACATTGTAAATCACAATGTGTACCCCACAATGAATTTGCATTGTATTATTCATCAGGAAATGTTCTTGTTGTTTGATCTGCCTTGATGCACAGGCAGTTTCAAACTTTACTACAAGCCTGAGATTGGAGAACTTGGCAAGGGAAAGGATCACACTAAAAGACATACATAAGTCTATTAATTTGGATATTGTTATATTTTCATATTTATTATTCATCAATATGTAAGTACACTTATAATTGACTTTAAAAAAGTATCTGTGGGAAGCAAATCTGTGATAAGTGCATGAACTAACTCTTGGCAGGCTCCTTCAGAAAGCTTTCTGACCCCTGTGTTATAGTATGGGAAACTCCAGGAAGAAATTCTGAGGGTTGGGGTAATGTTGGCAGCCAAGAGAAATTGACATTTTCATGGACATTTGAGGTAGTGGCAGAGAAGAGTGGTGGCTTGTTTTATTTGCAGTTCAGTTTCTGACATGTGTGGAGACACATCTTTGAGAATTATCCTGAGTGTTGCATTGTTCAGGTTAACAGCTGGGGCAGTGGAAGTGTTAAGATGTGGTGAACAATCCTGTTTAATGTGAAAACATCTTTGGTATGGATTGAGGGCAAACGCGCTCAAGCTCAGCAATATGATGATGAACTCCCTGAGAGAGCACTTTTTTCTTTCCTTTGAGCCTCTCTTCTCTGGAAATGTTGATCAAAGGACAATGCAAAACTACACAGTGCTAGGCTTCACAAGGCTGTGAAGACCAAAATGTAATGTAGAGATCATGCAATGCCCAACATTTTTCTTGATATCCGTCCAAAAGAAGCAACTTGTCAATGCCCTCAAAAGGAAACAACCTGACAACTTTTACCATCTTTCAGAAATTGCACAGTAATAATGCCAAACAATCCCACAGCAGTTTATCAAGTGGCTGATCATGTCTGTGCCTTAAAACTACCAGGATTTAACTAAAAGTCAGAGAGGTTATGCCACAAAAGTTTGCAGTGTTGTCACTTTAAGTGTGTTGTGTTTAATCAGAACAATGTATAGATGATAGAGGCATGACTTCTGTTTAGCCTGGTTTTGGTCAGTACTGGGAAGGGAGACCATTAAGAAGAACATGTTGGTATTTTACATAGTGTTTGGACAACCAGTATGTGGAAAACTTCCTTGTTAACCAGAATTTCCAATCCCATGTTACAGTATGGTGATGGAGGACACTGTGTCTTATGATTATAGGAAGTTAAGTTCTTCTAATTCAACCTTTAAACTGAGGACCTTACTACTCGATTTTTTACCCTTGTACAGTAGTTGTACAGTACAAGAGTATTATGGTTAAATTACCCTGTAGGATTGTATAATATTACCTAAAATTCCCTCTTAATTCAATTGCTAAAGTGCCTCACTCAAATATTTTCAAATATTCAAAAGGAATTTATATTTTTTGATCTGTGTTTTTGTTCACATTTTTATGTGAAATTGTTTAATGAAATCTTTAACATCTCAATATTGCATTTCTTTGTGAATCATTATATGTTTGAATGGCATGGTTCCACTTTAACTTAAGATGAACACAAGAAAACTATATTCTTAAATGCAGTTAATTGCATTTGATATTCTGTGCATCTTTGCTTTTTGTGTACAGCATATAACAAATGAAAGTAACAAGGAAAGTCTCTCATAATATGAGTAATCCTGTGATTTGGTCGACAACACCAACTGTAGGAACGATTCAGTAAGGCATTATAGTGTTTTAATTGAGCTCATTTATCAACAAAAGAGTAAGTAGTTTAATAATAATAAAAACAGGCAATTAGTTAAGAGGGAGATGGTTTGAATAAATTATTTTTAAAAATGCACTTCAATCACAGTTCTAATTAGTTGTTTGGCATTCAGGCCGGTATTAATAATGAAATTTATTGCTGCTGTTAACACCAATAATAAATCAAATGAAGTCTGGATTGTGACAAAAAGAACCAAAATATGCTTTTGCTTAAGCGTTTGTATCACACACATAAGCGGGTTTGGAACACCATTTACTCAGTATTCTCCTGTATTGGTAAGATGTACAATATGCTCTTTATTCTAGAAATCAGAAGTAGATGATTTTATTCTTTATTTTTTATCAATTAACTCTCTCCATAAACAATCTAAAATCTGTATAATATCAATGAAATGGATTGTTAGAGGACTGCTTATTTGGATTGTTTTCCATATTCTCTATACAAGGTATGGAGGATAATTCAAGGTGTGGTCAGACACCATAACAGTTTGATTAACATACAATTTTCAGGTTTTGACTATATTCAATTCGACTTACTGGAGAGTTGCAGCTGATGGTATGTGTAACAATTTCATGTTATACAAGGGGTATAAAAGTGTATGTTTTATACAAGATGCACACTTTATAAAATGTGTATAAAATTAATTGAGGCATGTAATGCAGTGCATGCATTGGCTTTGTGGTAAAATCTGAAAAGAACAGTGCAGATGGCTTGTACTACAGAGTTGTAGCAAAGGAGCTAACCATTCTGTATAATCACGATGCAAAATTACTCCTCATTTTGATTTCTTATTACCTTGATTTCTTAATTTACATCTTTTATACATTTAATACTTACTGCATATCAAATTATTCAACTCAGAGGCCACTGCCTGGTGTCTTATTTTGCAGAATAATTATTCTTCAAATAACTTCCATCTGGAGATCGGAGTTTGTGATCTTGTTGACCTTTTCAGCCTTTAAATCTGGGGCAACTGATTTCTCAGCCTTTTGAGAGGTGGGGGGAAAGTAGTTGAGACGTTTTAAGACATGACTGTAGGAAAGTTACAGTAATTCCAATTACTGGACACCAGGTTGGATGCTGATTTTCTGATGAGGGGAGATGCTATAGAAGAATAAGCAGGCAGAACACATTTAGGGAAGCAAGAGAAAAAGAGCCTTAAAGAACTATATCTTGATGATTGGAACATTAGAAACAAGATATTGGATTTAGAAGCTGTATTAGCAAGCAACTATGATTTTATAGGAGTTACAGAAAGCTGGCTTACAGAGAGAAATGAATTTGAATTTAATACAAGTGGAAAAAATTCAGTAGAGACCGAAAGTCGAAGAGGTGAGTGGGTAGTGATTCATATCAAAAATGGTACAGAGGGAAAAAACTTACAATTCTACGAGTACTTCTAAATCTTTATAGCTGAAACTGGAAATAAAATTTACAGTTTTAGCAATAGAAGTGTGATACAGACCAGGCAACATGCTCATAATGATGAATGAGATGTCAATTCCATACTGTAAAGTAGAAAAATGGAACATTCCAGCTGTTAAACCTTTTTCAGATGTAAGGGTGAGAGTGAAAGGGATAATAAATTATTCTTAAACTTGTATTACATCTTCCACCAGATCTCAGTGGTAGACTAATTTCTTTTCTGAACTTCTCCATTCAATTTACAGATTTTGTCTTTTCACACTTCTCCCCCAGATTTCCATTCGTTTGGATACTCTTTCTCACCTGCTGTGCCCATTCTTACATGTGCGGTAGTTTGTTTTCTTTTGATATTTATCCTAACAACTTTTCTCTCTCTCCCTCTTACCTGAAGAGGCTCAACAGCTGAAATGTTTTTTTTTCTTTCTACTTTTTAGCACGGAATTAACCTCTACTTGTTCCTGTGCAGCCTGTACTGTGACGCAGCTCCCCACTTGAGCCCAGTCATAATGATGCTTCATTATACAGTGCAATCACATCAGCATGTAGCAAGAAGGGTATCATATTATTAGGGGGATTTCAATTTTCCTCACATAGATGGAGATAAGCCAACTGGGAGCACAGATGCTGAAATTGAAATGATTGATATAGTGCACGCATTCTTTCTTTCCCAGCCTTTCAGAATACCAACAAGGAAAAGGGCTTGCAATAATCCTTAATTTTGCAAGTGACCCAAATAAAACAAGAAAGGTAGAAGTACTGGGAAATTGTGACCACAATATAATAACTTTTGGTATATAATTAAGGTCTGGATAGTCTCAATCTAAGGTAAAAGTTGATTTGAGAAAAGATTGTAAGAGAAGGAGTTAAGAGAAAAGCTTAAGATAATTTAATTAAGTGAGGAATCTTTAGACAGTGTGACTATGCTTCAGAAAGGTGTTGGTACCAGACCTAAAATTGTCAAGTTAAAGGTTAAAAAAACATGATCTAGTTTAGTAGATTATTAAAAAACATAAAGAGAAAATCATGTTAACAATCATCAAAATCATCAAATTTAATGTAGAGAATCACCAAATGGACACAAATCTGGAGCAATATCAGATGAGACAATAGCTGGAAGGAAATATCTCTATAGGAGACAAATCTAATGCTCAGAGCTTTTTACGGTATAAGAGCAAAAGATCACCAATAGAAGTGTCATATAGATACAAAGGAGTCTGTTATGTAAGACAAAAAAGAATTGTGGTTTTCAGTTATTTTGCTTTGTCTTTCCAAAGAAGAAAATCAACAACTCAGCGGGTTAAGATTTTTGTCAATCCTGGGCCCCTTGCTCTTCAGCATTTACATGTTCCCACTTGGTCAGCTTTTAAGATCACATGGCCTCAGCTTTCATTTTTACGCTGACAATACTCAAATATACATCTATACCAAACCTGACACTGATATGGCTGTCTCTATTCTATCTAATTGCATCTCTGACATAAAAATTTGGATGACTCAAAACTTCCTTCATCTTAACTGTGACAAGACTGAAGTCATGCTTATTGGTACCCCCCATCATCTTCGTAAAGCCAGTCCTGTGACCCTATCTGTAGATGGCTCTGTACTTGAGCTTCAATCAAAATTGAAAAACCTTGGGGTTATATTCGATTCTGGCTTAACATTCGACCCACATGTACAGCATACTGTCAAAACATCTTTTTTTCACCTTAGAAATATCGCAAGACTGCGCCCTATGCTATCATTAACTGTGGCTGAAAAGCTGATCAACATATTTGTATTCTCTCTTATTGACTACTGCAATGCTCTACATGCTGGGGTATCTAAATCTACTCTGAACAAACTGCAGTATGTCCAAAATTCAGCAGCCAGAATCCTGACTAGCTCTAGTGCAAGTGTTCACATTACTCCTATCCTGGAGTCCTTGCACTGGCTTCCGGTCAAATTCCGCCTAGACTTTAAAATTCTCATGCTCACCTATAAGGCTTTACATGGCTTGGCACCTCAATACCTGTCTGAACTTTTATCGCCCTCGCAATCTCCAGCTATCAAATTCTGCCCTCCTTACTGTCCCCCAAGTCCGTCAAGACAGGGCCTTCTCCTGCTATGCCCCCAAGCTCTGGAACTCTTTGCCCAAGGATATCAGAGAGTCACCTTCTCTAAACTCCTTCAAATCCAGACTCAAAACCTTCTTCTTTAGCAAAGCCTTTACTTAACTGGTTCCATTCTTCACCCCTCTGCTCTTCTTAATACCACCTTCCACGGTGTCCTCTATTGTTATTGTTGTATTGTTGTAATTTTAATTGTGTCCGATCTTGTGAAATCTTCTTATTTATTGTTGTAGTCTTCTTATTTATTGTTAATGTCATCCTTTAAAGGTGCTATATAAATAAAAATAAAGTTTATTATTATTATTAAAAAAACATTTTTATGTATTTATGTATTCATATAGAATAGACTATGTCCTGAATGCTATGACCCTTTGCATTCACCATTATAAAACTATCTCTAATGATAGTTATCACCCTTTAGCCAATTTTAATCATTACGATGCTTGTGAGTAAGCACTGAAGGAGTTTAGTTTAAAAAGAAACTGCATGGCATTGTGATCATGATGTCCATGTTTGTATTAATACGCAGCTCAGGTGGACCAACATTGGTGGAATAAGACTGACATTTTTGTTTGTTATAAATTCAGGTATTTAGATGTGAAACTTAATTGGTAAATGTTTCATGATCTCTTTTCTTTATTATTAAAATCTTTACAAGATGTGTGTCAAGCAAGCACAGGTGAAATGGATCTTGTCCAGTAAAATTATCTGGCATGATTTTCTTCTTGTAGTATGGTATTCTTTGGAATTAAACAAAATTCTTAGTCTTTCATTAAATATATGTATCTGTGTTGTTTTTAATATACAGAGGCTTGTTTCTTGCTGCTCAAGTATAAATTGCTTTTATATTGATTTTATCCAAAAATAATCACATATGTTAATTCATTCATCTGTTAAGCTGGTTTACTGTGATAATTTACAGACAATAATCAGTGGTATCTGATTAGTATCTTATATATTATATCATAGTGCAAACTATATAGTGAAAAAATTTTCATAATCATATCGAGGCTCATCTTCTCTACAGGATAACGTTTCAACATAGTTAAAATCTGCTTTAAAAGGCTTTTTTATAAAGATGATTTTATTACCTTTAAATGAGCCCAATGGGACTTCCAAATGAACTGCAATGTGTTTCAAAATAATTTACACTTTGCATGCAGTAAATTTAATCATGCCTGCATTATTAATTACCATTTCATTGTATTACAGTGATGAACCAGTATCTTATTTCCCCCTTTTTGCTAACATTGGAGGCAATACACAAAAATACCGTACTGTATGTGTGTGAATTTCATGTGTTAGTATTTATAATTTTGTATATGCATTATAGACATGTTCAAAATAGACATTTAAAATCACTTTCATAAATTAAGCTTATCAAAAGACAAAAAACGGTCTTAAAAATCAAGTGTAATTGGTTTTATTACATGCCTTAGATATTTATACATTACAAATCTAATGTTATTCACTTCATTAAAATTCAGCGTGAATATTAACCTCTTTTAAAAAGTAAGGAGCATGCAGTACTGAAAAGCACTGGCTTTGCTAGGACAGTTAGACATCCCAGAAGCTTATGACTGCATGTGGTGATGACTCTGCTAAACATGATTCATATTCAACTGAAATGTGTATCTGACAAATGAATAAACAACAGTCACAAGGCATTCCATGTATTTACCTTCAGACACTATAAACAGACTGTATGATGCACATTAATTGGCTTATGTAACTTTGGCTTCAATTAAATGTGAATTACTCTTTGGGCTGGGTAAGAAACCAAATATATTAAATTATTATTGCTCTATTTTTCAGTTCTTTGATGTGATTCCTACCAGTGAGAAGCCATTAGGAGATCAAGAATGGTATCACGGCGCTATCCCAAGAATAGAGGCTCAGGAACTATTGAAACAGCAAGGTGACTTTCTAGTCCGGGAGAGCCATGGCAAACCAGGGGAATATGTGCTGTCTGTTTTTTCTGATGGACAACGCAGGCACTTTATAATTCAGTTCGCAGATGTAAGTATTACAACAACAACAACAAAAAAGATACTACATCTATTCATTTTCTCCCATTGCAAAGGATCCTTGGATTAAACTTCATTAAAATGCAGTGTGAGTATGTGTTAGTTGTACATGGACAGATTATCGAGGGTGCACTTTTTAAGAATTCCTCATCTGCTAGCACAAATCTTTCAGAAAGTGTATGGGTTGCTCCTGTTACAAGAAATGCATGAAAAACTGTGCAGCTGTCTGCTATCAAGTAATTTCTAGATGTAGAAATTACTTAAATTGTACTTAAAATGTTGGCTAGATATTTTGTATATCCTTTCACAGAATGACTATTATATTTTAACTGTATTGGTCACTGTAGTAATAATGTGTTTTTAGTTGCCAATATACTGTTATTAAATAATGCCGTGCAGTTATATGCTGGTTTTAACAGTTACGTTTAAATTAAAAAAGCGAGATTTATTATAAGAGAATAATCAAATTCGAAAGAAAGTTCGATGAATATTTTTCAAAAACCTGTAATAAGTCTGAAAGTCGAAGCAGATGCAACCTTCTATAGATAGTCACTCTGAACTTTGTTTATTTGTGCAAATGATGGCAAAATTAAACAAGTCAGATGGGCTAAATGATTTTCTCTTTTTCAAACTTATTTTTTTAAATAAAATGGCAGAGGAGTAAAGAATTGATGTCAGTCAAGAGGCTGTATCACAGGCCAGAGTCAGCACCAGATCAAGCGTTCTGACAAGCACAATCTACTGGGCATTCAGACAACCTACAATTCTAGTGCACCGAATCAAACTCTGCAAATGAAAGCCTTCAGAGTTGAAGCTACCCATCTACTTCATTAATATCTTGAAGGCAGGCTTCCATGCCAAAAGAATAGAATAATACATGAATTCTTAAATTAAAAGCTGCAAATATAAACAATTTAGAGCTTGTTTATTGGTTTTTCTGTTTCCACGGTACTTTACAAAAGAGGTGTCATGTTTTGTTTTATGTGTATAAAATGTCACATATCTGTATGACAGCTAAAGAGAGTATTGTTTAATCTTCTTTAAATTTGTATGACTGCTCAATTTACTGACAATTTTAAGTTTACTGCATGTTTCACTGTTGAGAAATTACTTTTATTTTATGTGTTTATTGTTTTAATTTCCTCAGAATCAGTATCGATTTGAAGGAACTGGTTTTGCAACGATCCCCCAGTTAATAGAACACCACTATACAACAAAGCAAGTTATTACCAAGAAGTCAGGAGTTGTGCTACTGAATCCTGTTGTCAAGGTAAAATTCTATGTATATATTCTTAAAATCTTATACAACCCCTCCCCCAAAAGGAAGTAAAGGTCAGTGTCCTCATGGAATGGTTGTGTACCCTTTAATATATTGAATTAGTTTGGAAAATATATACAGTACAAGCCTGGTTAGGGTCTTGAATTAAAGAGAAACCCCGTTGAACATGCTGTCTGACACTTTAGGTTTTTTATAGTCTTACTCAGTGCACACACTAGAAAGAAATATCTTCTCTAAAATATCTACCTTGGTTAAAAAATTGAAAGTAATTGAATAAATATAAAAACAATCTGCATGAATTAAATGAAGGTGGGACCTGGAATGGCTCTCTCAGCCTTCCAAAAAATGTAAAATAAATAATTAAAGAAAAAAGTAAATACATTTCTATTTTTACTGTTGTATTTCACTACTGCTGGTCCTAGTGAGGCTTCTTATAATGTTTACAGTTTCAAAAAAAGTGTACATTTTTGCACTATTCTTTTAGTTACAGAATTTACAGTATTTTATAGGCTTACATCTAGGTTTACATATAGGTTTAAATCTTGAATTGTCAGAATTTGCTGAATGACAGCTGTTTTATTCTATTAGATTTTATATTTTCTATAGCCAGTCAATTTTAATGTAGAGGGGAGCTTTAATAGACATTTCACTACAATTGTTATTGTTATGTTTCGGGAAAACATTCTTTATGGATTTCAGTTAATTTTTGCTTTTGCGCTTGCATTTTTCTGGAGAACTGATAAATTATCGATTTACTTTGGTGCTTCTGTTATCTGAAACGTGAGATGAGCATTCCTATGGAAAAAAAGTACATTTGTGTTTTTTTTTGTGAGATGCAGTCCTTGGTGTTATGTTTTGATTTTGCTGGTAAAAATACATATTATTCACCCATTGTGCAGTTTCTGTTTAATGTGCTGTTGTCAGCATTACACTGTTAATGTGTTTACTATGAAATAGTTTCACTGATGTGACAACAAGCTTAAATACTGTGTATAGAGGATATAGGAGACCACTTGCATTTCTTGCACTTGCATATAGTTCTGTGAAATGATTAAACAATGTTGTTTTATAATAATAATAAACTTTATTTTATATAGCACCTTTAAAGGTGGCTTCTCAAAGTGCTTAACAGAATGACAACAGCAACAACAACAATTAAAAATAGACAAAAAATACACAAGATAAACACGATGAGAATACGCAGTAGATGGTGGAACTAAATATAGTAGAAGCAGCGGGGTGAAGAATGGAACCAGTTAAGTAAAGGCTCTTCTAAAGAAGAAGGTTTTGAGTCTGGATTTGAAGGAGAGAGTTCCAGAGCTAAGGGGCATAACAGGAGAAGGCCCTGTCACCCATGGAGTGTAGACGGGCTTGGGGGACAGTTAGGAGACCAAAATTAGA